TGTATGCAGGTAATTGTGGTGTCTTGAAATGTGAGATGAAAGCCTCTACAAGGGCAACAGCATCCTCCTTACTCACGTTGGGTTTTCTCGGCATTTTTATAAATATCCAGCAGTTCTAGAGAAAATATTATAGTGATTAGCATGATTAGAATCCACTCAATATAATTCATTGATGACCAATAGCATATATTTGGATCGGAATTTTCAAATTTAACTCATGTCAAAAAAATTGCTTGTATAAAAAATGTGTGTGTTGAAGACTCAATCAAAGAAAACAAAACTAAAAAAATTATAAATTTGTTAAGGCTCGGGTGGATTATCTAGAAAAGCTAATTTACTCCGAAATTCGGATTCCTAATTACTTTGGCAATTAATCGGTTTTTTCAATAATTGTTAGTTAGCATTCTAGCGGTTGTCAACAACTAGGCCGCTAGCTAAACAGTATCGGAAAAAACGATTAATTGATGGAGTAATTAGAAGTCTCAATTTTGGAGTAAATTATCTTTTCCAGACCGTCCATCCGGGCCTTAAAAATAATTTCTTTCGAGGTGATTTACCATTGGGTAAAATGGACACTTAACCTTAACGATGTTTATTTCTATAGAACTTGCTCATATCTACATATCTTAGTAGTTGAGCTTTTTTAAGTAAAAACCTTCTATTTGTGTGTTTGAACATTAACCCCGTATTTTAAAATTGGATGATTTCAATTTAATTCTTCATCTTGAGCCCTAAGGAAACATTTTTGGAATGTTGAAATAATACATTATTTCTGGCCGAAGGCTGAAAAAAAGATAATAAAAATCGCAAATTTAAAAAAGAAGTAAGTCTAAACTAGACTTGGCTCACCTTCAAGTTAAGTTAATAATTAGAGTTCTACATATTGTCCGTATCCACTGCTCAGATCGGCATTATCCACCAAATTTTCTTCGTCGTTAATCTCCTATCTTTTAGGCATCTTTTCCAAACTTCCTACTAATTATGAAGTTAAAACATAGGTCAATATCAACATTCAATTTACAGGAGACCACAGAAATATCTTCTAATAATACAACACTTTTCGTCCTAATTGTCCAATTGTTTCACTTTCATTAAAATGATATAGATTATTCTGATTAATTTTTCTGTTAATTAATTCAGGTCATCCGAAAAAAACCGTTGAGAAATTTTCAAATTAGTGGTCATCGATTGGCAGCATTGTTCTGCTGAATGGAAAACAGACCGCGGAAATGATTCAACTGTCTTTGGTGCAACTTTTTGAATAAGCGAAACTAAAATTGAAATAGGAGATATAAAGAGAAGAAATGTTATTATTTTTTTCCATGAAGTGGCCCTGCAGTAAAATCATGAAATTTTCCAATAGAATCGGTAGAAAAGTAGAAAAATGTAAAAGTAAAAATATATTTACTCATACAGTCTTATAGTGCCTGTGATCATGCACTTACCGTGGAAATGAAAGGATATTCCAAGGAATAATAAGGATCTCGCAGGTCTTCCCGAAAATAAGTCATTTAGGGGAATTTCCTTTCTAAATGGAACTCTCCTTGGCATTTCTCCAATAATCATTAGATGTCGATTGTCATTGTAGCATAAGATAGTCAGAAATAAACGGAGCAACTGCAACTGGGACTTGCTCATCTTTGGGCAAGTAAATCATCAACCTTCCAGGTTCCTGAAGACAATTGTAGGTCCATTGAGACAGATATAGGGGACCCTGATGGACAACTATCCACATTAATTGAGTCATCTTGGTATTCCGTGTCTGGTTATTGCTATGTTTGCACCGGACGGCACAGAGCTTCCTCAGCAACTGCAGTCTCATCTCAAAGGTCTTTGTGAAGCCCTTCATTTTTCTAAATTATTTGATAAATGATAAATCATCAATTGTTTATTCCAATTGTATTGTTCCTGGAAATAATTTGAAGACCAGAGAAATATATCTTTCGTATGTTGCGGGGTGATTGACTTAAGGGCCGGATGGAGTATCTCGGAAAGATAATTTACTCCAAAATCGGGATTCCTAATTACT